CCCCACAAATTACGTAGCTAGTCCTGTCTGTAGATGAGATAATAATATCATCTCAATGTTAATTTCCTGAATTTGATTATTATGGTATTGTGGTTATCTAAGAGAATGTCTTTATTTTAGGAAATTGACTGAAGTATTTAAGATGTCTGTAACTTGCTCTCACTTGTTACAGAAAAACATAATATGTTGTGGGGTGTCTGTGACACTCTTCTATGGCACAGCCAGTATGACCTATTTACAACCCAAATCTGGCTATTCCCCAGAAACTAAAAAACTCATATCATTGGCTTACACATCACTTACACCTCTGCTGAATTTACTGATCTACAGTTTGAGAAACAGTGAGATGAAAAAAAATTTGATGAAACTATGGCAAAGAAAAGTGGATTCACACACATTCTCACTGCACTGAGAAGCCATGTGATATTTGATCAGTGTTTGATTGAACTCTACTTAAATTTAATAAATGGGCCAAACATTCTGCAAAAAAAAAAATGTTGTGGGGGGTGTAGAGGGAGAGAAAGAAATGAAAGACAATGTAATAAAATGTAAGCATGTGATAAATATACATAGAGTGTGCAGGAAATCCCAGCACTATTCTTGCAACTGTAGGTCTGAAATTATGTCAAAAGCAAAAGTTGGAAGAAAAGAATAAAATAAAGCATTAAAAAAAGAAAAAAAAACGTCAGGGAGAAACAACCCGCCACCACATGAGAGCTACCGGGAGAGTGGGATATAGTGTTCCATGAAACCACAGGCCAAAGCCACAGAAACTACAAGGCAACTATGCCCTTGAACCACAGGGAACAGGAATTCCCCAAGACAGCTGGAGAACTGTCCTGTGATGGTGCATACTCACCTCACTGGCATATTAATACATTGAGAGATTGATACTATTTCAAAGCAGTTGTTTTTTTTTTAAGATTTTATTTATTTATTTGAGAGAGAGAGAAAGACAGCATAAGCAGGAGTGGGGGCAGAGCGAGAGGAAGAATCAGACTCTCCACTGAGCAAGGAGCCCAGTACCAGGCTCAATTCCATGACCCCAGGGTCATGACCTGAGCCGAAGGCAGACACTTAACTGACCGAGCCACCTCAAAGGAGTTTTGAATTCTACCTCAGAGATCATGAATAAACCAATACAGAGACTTCTATGCTCCAAATCACTCAGCCAACCCAGGCACTTACCCATGAGTCTAAGTAGATTGCTACCTGGTGTTTGACTAAAATGGGTCCTGTGGGCACCCAGGCCATGGGGAGCCCTGCCTACTGCCTGGAACTGCCAGCCTCCTTCCTATTCATGAGCTGTTGTTTTCAGACCAATGGCAACTGCCTTCCATTGCCTATTCCCCTAGTGGCAAGATCCTGCCCATAATCCTAAAGCTAACCCTAACCCGTAAGAAACCATCTGCTTCAGGTTGTTTATCCCGTGAAAAATTTCCAGAGGAGCGTTTATGGAGTGAGGGGCACAAACACTGAGGACAGAGCAGCTCTAAGGGTCTCATCTTTGTGTGAAATGAGCTCACCCCATCTTTCAAACACAAGTCAGATCACAGCATGTCTCTGCTCAAATCCTTCCCATGGCTCCTAGATTCTCTAGATTAAAAGGCAAAGTCTTTGCACTGACTACAGTGCCCTCCATAACCCGTGCTGGCATTACCTGTCTGAGGTCACCTCCCCTCATGCCCCTGATTGCTCATTTATTCCCACCACATTAGTCCCCTGGATGATCCTCAAATACCCAGGGCACATTCTGACCTCAGGTCCTTAGCCCTGGAAGTTTCCTGGGCCTGGACAGGAATTCCCATGGATTGTCACATGGTTCATGTCCTCCTTCACTCAACACAGTCCTTGAATGATGCCTATTGAATACCCGCTGTGAAGTAACCACTCTCATCTCTACTACATCCCCTGGACTCACTGGCCCTCTTACCCATCTTTATGACACCTGACATGGTATACATATGTGGGTTCATTCATTTATTGACTGCCCCACTACCACCACCACACACACATGCACACACATGCATGCACACACACATACACACTCATACACATACCACCCTGATACCAAATCCCTGCCACTTACGACAGAAAGCATAGTAGGCACTCAATAAATATTTACTGAATGAGTGGATGCCTCTGCTTATGCTATTCCTCAGGCAAGACTATCCTCTACTGGTCTGTCTTTAGAACCTCACTTTTTATGTAACTGCCTATTATCTCTCCAACCCCAAACCTACACTTTCCTGCAAAACAGAGGCTTATTTCCACATGGGTGTTATCATACACAGCCCTCTAGACTGGAGATGGGTGTACTGGCATCAGTAAAGCTGTCATCAGCTGTTGGAGATGGGAGGGAGTAAGTGCAGGAAGAAACTCTGCCCTGAACTCTGGAGGAGTGGACAGATTGAGGGACTCTGGGAAGTGCCACAAGTCCCATCTGAAGCCAGAAGTTTACCAGGATTCCTGGCCCTGGGAGCCATCCTTCCAGCCAAAAGTAAACATTGCTGTGTGGTCTGTCTACACAACATGTAGCCCATCAAGACCTGGAAGCGGGTAGGAAGGGACCAGTCCAGAGCAGCCCCTTCTTTCTCTCCTCATCCCCCTCCTCCACCAGAGACCCTCAGAGTCCCCAACCTGCAGCAGCCACTCAGCGGCAAAGGTTGATCAAAGAAATGTCCTCGGCCAGGGGCTCCTCCAAACCCACCCATTTCTCACCTGACCCACTCCACCCCTCAACTGTCCTTTTCCAGCAGGTTCTTCCTATTCATCACTGGGACCCATGGTAACCTCCAGTCCTGGTTCTCCCCTTTATCTTCCCCAGGATGTCCCTGGGCCAGGATGCCCTTGATAAAAGTCCCACCTTCTATCAAGGTTCTGGAGGAGGCCCGAGGGTCCCTCTCCCTTGGCCCTACTCAGGGTCGTTCTGGCATGCTTCTCACGCAGTAAAACCTCAACCATGAGGTCTGCTATTCCACTGGTGGCACTTTGTTCCTTTATTAAATTGGGAGTCGCAAATTCATGGGCTAGCCCTGATCAGTGGGTGGCTGCTGGCAGCTGCCTGGAGTGTTAGGAGGAGGAGTAGCATGAGTGCTATAGGTTTGCAGGGTGGGAGCTGGTGGAGAAATGATGGTGTGCAGACAAAAGGCATACCCGTCCTGAGTTAGGGCTCTGCCCAGGGTTCTTTCCAAGTTCAAACCTAGGGAAGGTGAGGAGAGAGTAGAGGGGGTGGCAGTCATACACTTGGCTCCTAACAGCTCTACCCATGCCTTTGCTGCTGCCTGCAAGGGCTAGGGGACCCAAGCTTGGGCAGACAAAAACCAGAAAAGAGAAAGCAAAGAGAGCTACACTGCCATCTATCGCCAAGGGGTGGCCTTATGCACTGAGCACTCTCCCTTGCATCCAGGAGACTCATTCACCTTGCATCCCTAGTGGAGGTGTAGGGAGAAGCCCCGGGGTGTTGCCTGGCTCGTGGTCTGTGGCAAGGACCCACAAGAGATGAGAAAGATAGGACCAGCCAAGTACCAAGCCACCAAGGCTTTCTGTCTCCAGACCACTGCCCTCAAGCTGCCCTAATTTCTCACATCCCATGGTGGGTGGAGCAGAGGAGCTAGAAGCTGTCCTGGGGTGGGCAGAGGAAGGCTGAGAAAAGTGGATCAAAAGGAGCATGGAGGAAGGACAAAGAAGCCATGCAGGAACAGAGATAGAGCGATAGAGGGATAGAGAGAGAGCAAGGGGGAAGAGAGACGAGAGAGGGTAAACAGGGGACGGAGAGAGAGAGAGCAAAAGAAGGGATGTGAGGACTGGGACTCAGGTGTGTCTCTGAAAGAACACACAAGAAACTCGTAGATTTTATTTCCTCCATAGAAAACAGTTTGGGGCTGGGGGGGGGCAGAGGGAGGGGATCAAGCTTGAAGGACGCTTTCCGTTGATTTTTTTTAACCTTTTGAATTTTGAGTCATGTGAATGTATTATTTATACAAAATAACGGTTTAAAAATCAACAACCGGGGCGCCTGACTCTTGATTTCAGCTCAGGTCATGATCTCCGGGTCATGAGATCAAGCTGCCTGTTGGGCTCTGTACTCACTGGGGAGTCTGCTTCGAATTCTCTCTCTCTCCCTCTCCTCTGCCCCTGACCCACTCTAAATACGTACATACATATATACATACATAAATACATAAAATCTTTTTTAAAAAAATGAACAACCAGGGCAGCCCCGGTGGCGCAGCGGTTTGGCGCCGCCTGCAGCCTGGGGTGTGATCCTGGAGACCAGGGATCGAGTCCCACATCAGGCTCCCTGCGTGGAGCCTGCTTCTCCCTGTCTGTGTCTCTGCCCCTCTCTCTGTGTGTCTATGAATAAATAAATAAAATCTTTAAAAAAAAAAAAAAGAACAACCAGGGGCACCTCGGTAGCTCAGTTAAGTATCTGCCTTCAGTGGGGAGTCTGCTTCTCCCTTCCCTCTGCCTTTCCCCCTGCTCACGCACACATGCTCTCTCCCTCAAATAAATAAAATATTTTAAAAAAATAAATCAAAACCAACAACCAATCAAAGGACCTCGGCTTTGCCACCTTCTCTCCATGTGGCTGCAAGCAGGTCACCTGGTAGACGCCTGGTCTAGAACACGCAGCTGTCATCAGCCTCACCAAATCTCTCAGCCCTGCCTGGGTCCAGCACCCAGACGGCACCCAGACGTGCTGTTAGTTATCGAGCTCCTGGCAATGAATGCGAATGACTTTGGAAGCATCCCACCCTGTATCGGAGCCTGTTCTCCCTTCCATCTCCCTCCCAAGGAAAGGATAACTCCCAACCCCCGAGGAAAAGCATGACTACACAAGCTGAACCTTGAATGTATGTTCACTGTTTCTGAGTTGATCCCTCCCTGGACTTCATGCCCAGATGACCTGGTCACCAACCACCCCCCTCAACCCAGAGTCAGAGGAGACAAGGACAGAATGATTAAGAATGGAGGCCATGCCCCCCACCCAGTGCTGGAAGCGGTCACTTTATTGGTTGGAAAAGGAAGAAGCTGCGCTCAGCTCTGGAGGGAGTGTACAGGCCAGAAAGACAAGAGGACGGCGGGCCTGGAGCCGAGCTGGAGCCAGGCAGGGCTGGACAGAAACTTCCACTCCCCCACTCCTCGGGCTATGGTGGTTGGAGCTGGAGGAAGAAAATCATAAAATACATCAGTGACAATATCCAAAATACCAGCCAAGAGGACCTGGAGCTTAAATTCTGGACCAGAGCTCCCCTACTCTCCCTTTCCAACACACACACAGCAGAGCCCCCCGGGCTCTGCAGGTCCTAGACTCACCTCTTCTGCTTCTGATCATCCGGGTCATACCTGGGTAATCACGGTCCAAGTGACCGCTGGGGCTTTCCTGAGGGACCATCGTCATTTATTTCCCTACAAGTCCCTCTACCACCAGGAAGCTCCACCACCACCACCCCCATCCCGCCCCAGTCCTTAGGTTAAGCTGGGATTTGTTGGTCAAGGAGATCTCATTTTATAAGCACGGTAATTGCAGCTTCGGGAGGTAAAGACTAGATAAGTGTCAGAGCTGAAATCTGAACCTGGGTCTTCCTGGCCACGAAGTCCGGCAATGCTGCCGGCACGTGGGAGCCAAGGGGTGGCTGGCATCACTGGGGAGCTCCGGGCCCTTGGGAGAACGTGGCTGCCACTCAGGCACCGAAAGGACACCTCAAACCTGCAATCACAGGATCTTGGGCACATTGTCCCCTCTTCTCATCTGTGCAATCCTGGGTCCCGCCAGAGACCTGTCAGCCCCTGGCTGAGGGCTTATCAAGGTAGCCCACGATCAACAATGAGATTTCAATCAGAGGACACGCCCGGGTTCCTGCTCCTCCTGTACCTCACCCCTCTACTGACCTTCCAGTCATCCTTGAGGATGGGCCTAGGTCATCATTGCCTCTGTGAAGCCTGCTTTCTGCCCACACTGGTTTTCCACCCTCCCACCCTCTTACCCCATGAGGTTTTTCCTCCTCTGTTCCCACAGCACCCAGTCCTTCCCTCACTGCAGCACTGAAGACTGGCCCTGGGAGTGTCCCTCTGTCCATCCACTTTAGCCAGGGGGCTGTAAGCTCTGTGAGGAAGGGCAGTGTTCACCTTCAGTCCCAGCACCTGACACAGAGACCACGGCACAGCGCCGGATCTCCCAATGGGCCAATCAAACATGTGCTTTGTATCTTGTATTTCTTACTTACTCACACTTACTCTAGGACTTGGTATTGTTTTATTTTTAGTTGTAGGTAGGGGAAGAGAGGCTCTGCAATCCTTTCCTTGCAGGGTCAGAACTACCAGAGGTGGCCAAACATAGCCCCAGCCCGCCACTGAGCAAGAACTCATCACACATCAAATACATATTTGACACCTGCCAAGTGTATCCTGAAAAGCCAAGTTTTTGGGGAAATTAAAGATCAGTCTTCAGCCTCCCACTGGCCACATGCAAAGAGCTTCCCTCCCACCCTTACCCCCTCCAGGCACTGTCCACTATCCCCTCTCTCAGGACACAGCTGCTCCTCCAACTGTTGGCTTTCTGAGTGCATGCTATGGAAACAGGGAGGATCTTCTCTTTTCCTCACAGCCCAATTCATCAGCAAGTATCATCCCATCTACCTCCACATATATGCCCCAAACAGTCACTTACCTCCCCTGTTCTGTCATCTCCCAGCTGGTTTCCTGCTTCTGCCACTGCCCCTGTATAGTCTATTCTCCACCCAGCAGCCAGAGCAATCCTTCTCAAATCTAAGCCAGAGCATGTCCATTTCCACAGGGGCGACATCTTGGGGTCAAGACCAAAGTCCTATAACGACCTACCAAGCCCCTAAGAAGCTGCTAAACTTACCCCTGACCTTCCTCTTCCTGTGCTCCCCTGGCTCCCTTTCAGCCTCCTGGCTTTTCCTGAAACACCAGGGATGCTCCTACTTTTGTACCTGCCGCCCTCACTGTAACCTTCCCCCCCCCGCCCCGCCCCGTGCTCCCCCCTCCCCCCGCTGCAGCTATCTTCATGGCCCCCTCCCTCAAGTTCTGGCAAGTCTTTGTTCAAATGCTGCTTTCTGGGTAGGGCCCTCCCTGAGTGTCCCTAAAAAAAAAAATAACAACACAGAAACCCTGCTTCCTGCCCACCCCACCTCACCCCCACTCACCCCACTGCCCCCCTCCCCGGCACTCCCATTCCCCTTCTGTTTCCTTTTTCTCCATGGCACTTTTCTCTCTCAAACATTCTACAGAAAACACTTGCTTGTTTACTTTTCTTTATTATCCATTAGCACATAAACTCCATCAGAGAGGATTTTTTGTCTGATTTGCTCACTCATGGATCCTCTTCAGTACCCAGAGCAGTGCATGGCGCATGATTGATGCTCAACTGATACTCACTGAGTGCAAGAGAGCAAAGAAATGGACAGATAGTGAACAGAATTATGTTTGCCCAGGCCCTCCTTTTCAATCACCTTTACATCTAGACATCAGTGTGCTGTCCCCCCCACCACCACACACACACACAACTTACCTCAGAAGATGGGAGTGACACAGGACACCTTCCCGCAACCATTGTAGCAGCATTTTAACAGGCCCGGACAGTGACTGTCCACCTGGCACTGGTCCTGACAGAGGCCGAGCTGGGGGAAGTCAGTGTTCACCTGGGGGCAGGAACCCTGCTTTTCTGGGGAGAAAAAGGAACAAGAGAAAGTGAGCAGAGGGGATGCCGGGAGATGAACACTGGTCCACAATATGACCTTCCATCCCCCTCCCCCTGTGTCACAAACCAGACAGCTGTCTTCTGGCATTGATCTCAGGGCACCTAGGAAGACCACCCGCAAACCCCTCCACCTCCTGCTCCCTCCATCCTTGATTTTGGAACCACCCAACACCAGGCTGCTGGTAAGAAGTAAAACCAAGACCTGAGCCCAGTCTGTGACCATTTACAAACACACACACACACCCTAAGCACCACTTCCTGGGTCAAGGAGAAAGAAGCTGGGCTCAATTCCCAGAAGCCCCAAGAGCAAGCCCAGCCAAAGGTCAAACACAGGTACAGAACTGGCTGATCAGCTGCAGAGGATAGGAGTGGCTGACTTCTTAGCACAAAGAAATCCATTCCTCTGAAAAGGGCAGGAGGTCTAGATACTGGGCTTCCCTAGGACAAAAAAGGAATCGGGAGCGGTTTACTGACAAAACACGCCACGGCGGATAGAGGGTCTACTCTCCACAGAGACATTTCCCGTGTGTTATTTCATTTAGTCCCCATGTCAGTCCCACAAAGTTTGGGATTATCATTCCCATTTTGCCAACAGGAAAGGAGAGGTTCCGAGACATAAAGCAACTTGCTCAGGACCACACAGCTGGCAGAGGGCAGAACTAAGATTCTAGCTCAGGAGGCCCTCTGGCCCGTTGCTCTTCCTGCTTCAGTCCGTCCATCTGAGACAAAGGAACAGCAAAGTCTGCCCCTAACAGTAGGCACGCCTTCTGTCCCCTCCACCCCACTTATCTGTGTTTGTCTGCCTCTCGCTTTCTCTCTCAGCCCTCACCTCTCCCTCTGATCCTCCTCTCCCTGCTCCAGATTAGAGGCCTCCAGACCCAGCAGCTGCCCCTGATGGGCCAATCTTCCCTCTACCCTCCCAGCTCCAGTCTCCTAAGTCTGAGGTCTCTAATTACAAACTGTCCCAGCCCCTACTAGAAATAACGGAAAGGGAAAAATCACAGCTGGGCGAGGGCGGCTGTATTTTGGATAAAGACCAGTAATCACAACAGCTTGGTGCCCCAGGTCATATCCCTGCTTCTGGTCCTCAGTTTTTCCCTCTGAAAAATGAGAAGCTTGGATTTCTTGTTGCCTAAGGCCACTCCCTGTTCTGATGAGGTCCCTGCAGCCTAGTGGAGACAGTGAGCTCTAGCAAGGACCCTTGCGGATCACCAGGGCTTTCGCATAGCTCTCTCTCTCTCCATCCTTAGTGGAAGAGATTGTTTTAAATAGGAGGAAGAGGGTAGGGGTGCTCAGGGAAGTGATCCTGATTTCCTCCAAACCAGCCTTCCAGAAGTGGCAAAAGTTGAACCCCCTCGCTAGGACTCCTGCCGAGCCACGGAGTGGCGGTGCGACCTTGGACACGTCTGCCGCTCACAACCGCATCTTCAGGATGGGCTGGGCGCTCTCCTTAATGCGTAAAGTCTCTTTCTGTCTGGACAGAGGAATCCAGGGAGTCTTGCTAGGCCAGACGCTCCAAGTCCTTCCCTCAGCTGGGGGAGGGGGGAAGGGGGAGCGCAGGGGAGGGACTCCGAGAGGGCTGAGCGCCCCAGGTCTCACGACCCAGCCCACTGGCCAGCCCGGGTCTTCGCCGCGGCTCCAACCGGCCAGGGAGGAAACTGAGAACCGACCGGGTGCCTTGACCTCCGGGAACACGGTCCCAGCTGGTGCTTGCCCGGAAGCCCGTCACGCACCAGGGAATGGAATCCAGCCAGGGGTGGGGGGACCTCCCTTCCCTCTCCTGGCTGAGCTTTAGCGCCGCCTTTGTCTCCCCGAGGCCCCGCGAGGAGGCACAGGGCGGATCTGGTTCCATCCGCCTCGACTCTACAGGGGTCCCCGGGGTGGGAGGGGGGCTCCCCTCTTCCCCGATCTCGGCGCTCTGCCTCCTCCAGCCCACCGCGCCCTTCCCTGCCCCGCGCCGGACGCCCCAGGATTACCGTTGGGCAGGTGACAAATGGTGGCGCAGCCGGCCTGGCAGCACTTGAGGTTGTCTGCGCATTGGGCGTCCGAGACGCACTCCTGCGTACAGTTCAGGTCCGCCTGTAGCTGGGGGCACACGCCGGTCTTCTCCACTTCTCCGCCTGGGAGGTGCACGGTCAGGGGGGCGCGGAGCCCGAGTCTGGGAAGACGCCCACCTCCTGCTCCCAGGGTCCCTGAGCGCAAGCTCCAAGGATTCTTGGTCTCTGGCTCTAGGAGCCCCCCTCACAGTCTTTAGGGAGCCCCACCTCCAGGCCTGGGGACCCTAACCCTAATACGTGTAAGTACGGGGGTCCCCTAACCCTCATCCTTAGAGCCCTCAATCCTTAAGGGGCCCCCAGACAGCTGAGCATCTTAGGAGCTTCCTATGCCAGGGCAAGGGTCCTCCACCGGCCACTAAGTCTCCACCTTCAGCACAGAGCCTCTGCCCCAAATTTCAGCCTTCAGTGGTCTCCCCCACCTCCAGCACATAGGACCCCACATCTAAGCTCCAGGGGTCACTACCTTCAGGAACCAGGGAATCATCAAAATTTAGTCCTCATGGGTCTCCCCACTTCCGCCCCAGGAATACCCATTTCTCCAGCTCCCGGAGAGGCTACGTGCGCCTCGGCCCAGGCCCGGTCCCAGCGCTCCGGGAGAGGCCTCTCTGGCGCCAGGGCTCTCCCCGCCCCGCTCACCTGGGACCCGAGGGAGGCCGAGCAGCAGCAGGCCCAGGAGCAGGGCGCCGGCCAGAGGACCGGGGCGGCAGGCAGGCATGGTGCTGTGCGGGCTGGGTGCGGGTGTGAGCCGCTGCCGCCGCCGGATGCGGGGATTTAACCGCGCGCGAGGGCGGGGGCGTGGGGTAGGGGTGGGGCCGCCCTCGCGGCGGGGGGTGGGCGCAGCGGCCACCGCGGGCGGGCTGCCACCTCACGCCATTTCACAATTCCCCGGGATCAGGTGTCATTCTTGGCCCCGGTGGGAACCAGGAACCTGAGCAGCTTCCACGGCCTGGCGCAGCTCGACCAGCTGCAGTCAGACCCTTGTCCACTCCCCTCTCCCTCCTCCCTGCTGGGGCCTTCGCGCAGGGCTGTCGGGGCGGTGGCTGGCGGCCCGGTCGGGCCCAAGACTCCTGGGTCTCCCTGTAATGCCACGGGAGGGCAGGGCAGGGCCCACGGGGAGGCAAATAGAACCTGGGGATTAAGTGGTTGGATTTGCAGCAGCCTGATCAGAGTGCCGATCTCTGTTGAAGGATTCATGATGCAGGTCTAGTGAGGTGATACAGAGCATATAGTAGGGGCTACAGAAAAATCATTAATAAATGAACCCATTCCACGGAAGACATTGAGTCCCATGAAGGTGAAACAACTATTAACAGACTCAAGACATTTTGTTTTTTTTTTTTTTAGTTCTTTTATTTATTTATTTATGATAGTCACAGAGAGAGAGAGAGAGAGGCAGAGACACAGGCAGAGGGAGAAGCAGGCTCCATGCACCGGGAGCCCGACGTGGGATTCGATCCCGGGTCTCCAGGATCGCGCCCTGGGCCAAAGGCAGGCGCCAAACCGCTGCGCCACCCAGGGATCCCAGACTCAAGACATTTTGAATGTGTGTTTCTCCTCCCTCTTTCTTCTCTTCTTCTCTCTCTCTCTCTCTCTCTCTCTCTCTCTCTCTCTCTCTCTTTCCCCTACCAATACTCTCTCAGGGCTGACTGTGCCAGCCTCTGTGCTCATGGCCTCCTGGCATCTCATGGCTTTTCCCAGCAAACCTATGAATGGGGAGTTCCTATTACCATCAGCTGTAAATGCCAGATGAATAGGATGTTCCGAAGTCTAGAGGCTTCCCCCAAGGTCCCATGCCAAGCTCTAGAGACAAGGTTTTGAACCCACACCTCTTCCCTCCAAGCTCTTGTTTTTCCCCCATTCCATCATAAATATTCACTAGGTGCCTACTACGTGACACGTTATGGGGCAAGACAATTGGTGTAGAGAAAGCAATTAAAGGAGCCATCTGGCACTGACTGTGGGGTGGTAGGGTCTGGGTGTGACTCCCATCTTCATTATTTCCTAGCTGCAGAACCTTGAATGAATTACTTCTCCATTCTGAGCTTCCATCCTGCCATGTACAAGGATGTTGATAAAGTAAGAATTCAGAGGGAACGTAAATGTAATGTTCCTGCCGTGGAGTAGCTGAGTACTCATTGACGGCTAGATCCACATGACTGGCATAGGAGCTCCAGCCCGAGCAGGGAGTAGATAAACAGCTGTGAGTGCTTGATAAAGGGTGTCTAGACCAAGGAACCTGATAAGTATATAGCCAAGCCTTAGAATCCAGGCTGGAAAATACCCAAAGAGTTACCCAGGGCATTAGACAAGACCCTTCCTGCTCCAACAATCTGAGATTCTGTAAGCCCCTTTGCTGCTGGAGGCTAGAGGCATCTGGGGCACTGACAATTGGAACGACTGGTGAGCAGGGCTTTGATGACATGAGTGTATCAGGCCACTGTCTCCGCAGATGACTCTTGGTAAAAGAGGCTGAGAATCCCTCCCCCAGGGGCACCTGAGTGGTTCAGTGGGTTAAGTGTCTGCCTTCTGCTCGAGGTCATGATCCTAGGGTCCTGAGACGAGCTCCACATTGGGCACCCTGCTCAGTGGGGAGCTAGCTTCTTCCCCTGTCCTTCTCCCTCTCTTATGCTCTCCGTTTATCTCTCTCCCTCAAATAAATAAATGAAATCTTAAAAAAAAAAAAAAGAATGCCTTTCTCAACTTCCCATGCCCCTCCTGGGGAAGAGAGGGGTGCCATAGTTGGGAAGGGCAAGGGCTGTTTATTCTAAGCTCAGACAACAGTCAACAACAATAAGGCAGGAGCCAGGTAGGGGACAGCAGTGGGCACACTCACTCAGTCTAGGGCATGCACGGGGCACCTGGTGGCTCAGTGATTGAGCATCTGACTTCAGTCTAGGGCATGCAGAGGACATTTTGATGAGCCGCCGATTTTAGCCTTTGGACCCAATTGGGTACTGGACATTCCGTCTTGGGCACAGCTTCCGGGACCTACCCAGCTCCCCAGGCAGGGAAACTGCCCAGCCACACCCCTCCCCAACCGTCCTGGGTTCCCAGCTGGTTGGCCCTCTCTTCTTGCAGGAGTACAGATTAGTTTGAGGCTGAGGGGGTGGGGTGCTGCAGAAGATGGAGAAGTTTCCTCTGTCAATGGCTGAAGGCATGAAAAGATGTTTCACTTTTGTGATGCTAGGCTCTGTGTGGGAATATTCATATATTTTCCCTTCTCTTTATAGAAGGTAAAAAGGGCAGAGGCTTTAGAACCAAACACACTCAGGTCTAGATCAGAGGTTGGCTACTTCCTGGTGGTAAGTAACAAAAGTTAAACCAAGCACACATTGAAGATCTAATTGGGTTTATTAATGGATTCAGGGAGCATCTCATCTAGCAGGTGGGGGGGGCTGCCAAAGGGCTACAGAAAAGCAAAGAGTTGTAAAAGCAGTGAAGGAGCGGAAAAAAAGGGAAATTATTAACAAAGAATCTTTTGTTTTAGGCAAGGTCACTCTCCCCAGAGGAACAGAAGGGGTCTATCAGTAAATTTCCTAGCAATGACCAGGAAGTCCCCATGTTGACTGGAAAAAACGTTATACTTGTAGGGGGTTGAGACTACATTTAGGTTAGGTATTAAGTCTTGGTTTACTGACTTAGGGTCTGAATCTAAGTGACTTGGGGACTGTGGTTTTATTATTAACAATTACTCCCTTGACCAGACTCTCAGCTGATTTTGATTACTCAAAACTTAAGGCATTAGCATCACTCTCAGCTCTGCCCTATAGTGCTTGCAGCTCCTGTTGCTCCCCTATGGTATTCATAGGTCCTGATGTTTTTGCTTTATCACTATGATATTCACAGGTTATGACTTCAGCTTCACAAATGGTCATTTTCTTCGTTCCTTTTGTTGACATTTCAGTCTTGGGGAGATCATTTGCTTGACAGTTAGTGTCTATGAACACACATGTAAAGCTTTTGAGAGACTATAACACAGCAGGAAGGTTATTATGATTATTATAAACAGGATAATTCCCAATATTTGGAGTGTACTTTGAAGCCATGGTCCCCAAGACCCAAACCAATCAAAGTTAAATAAGTCAAAGAAAGACCTCCCACTGAAGGAATCACTCCTTTAAGCCAAGAGGCTTGCTCAATGAGTTTATGTAACTCAATTTTGACTTCCGTAAAAGTGTTAATTCAGGTGTAGCAGGTGGTGTTGGCCACAGCAGATACCTCCTGGTTCAGCTAAAAGATAATCAAGGGCTATTTTATTATCGAGAACAACTTTGGCCAGAGAGTCTAAGGATCTTTGTTGGGCAGCTATTGCTTTAACAGCAGATTTTGCAACAATTTCAAGAATTAAGAAATTCCTGATCACTACCTCATTTACATTTATCATCAACCAGAGACGTAGGAAACTGCCAAAAGGAGTGAGTCCTGAATTGTGAAAGCCTCCTGATAGGTGCTTTTTAACTCACAATGTAAATATAGGTAATGTCTTATTTTGCCTCTGAAAAGTTAGGGTCACAGTTAGATTTTCTCCTGGCCTGAAATAAAAAGTCGTTTTAAAATCTAGACATAAACCCCCTTAGCAGTGGCCTGGGAGATACAGATGAGAGTGTGGTTTTCCAGACCAATGCCAGAGGGAAGGAAAGGGAAAGGAAAGGAATAGGAGGGGAGGGGAGGGGAGAGGAGGTCAGGGGAGAGAGTATCATGTCTAGTTAAAGTATGAAATCGGACTTGCCATCAGGGAAATACAAATCAAAACCACAATGAGATACCACCTCACACCAGTGAGAATGGGGAAAATTAACAAGACAGGAAACAGCAAATGTTGGAGAGGATGTGGAGAAAGGGGAACCCTCTTGAACTGTTGGTGGGAATGTGAACTGGTGCAGCCACTCTGGGAAACTGTGTGGAGGTTCCTCAAAGAGTTAAAAATAGATCGGCCCTACGACCCAGCAGTTGCACTGCTGGGATTTACCCCAAAGATACAGATGCAGTGAAACACCGGGACACCTGGACCCTGATGTTTCTAGCAGCAATGTCCACAATAGCCAAACTGTGGAAGGAGCCTTAGTGTCCATCGAAGGATGAATGGATAAAGAAGATGTGGTTTATGTATACAATGGAATATTACTCAGCCATTAGAAATGACAAATACCCACCATTTGCTTCAACGTGGATGGAACTGGAGGGTATTATGCTGAGTGAAGTAAGTCAATCGGAGAAGGACAAACATTATATGGTCTCATTCATTTGGGAATATAAAAAATAGTGAAATGGAATAAAGGGGAAAGGAGAAAAAAATGAGTGGGAAATATCAGAAAGGGAGACAGAACATGAGAGACTCCTAACTCTGGGAAACGAACTAGGGGTGGTGGAAGGGGAAGAGGGCGGGGGGTGGGGGTGAATGGGTGACGGGCACTCAGGGGGGCACTTGAGGGGATGAGCACTGGGTGTTATTCTGTATGTTGGCAAAGTGAACACCAATAAAAAATAAATTTATTATTAAAAAAAAGAAAGGGAATAAAGGGGAAAGGAGAAAAAAATGAGTGGGAAATATCAGAAAGGGAGACAGAACATGAGAGACTCCTAACTCTGGGAAATGAACAAGGGGTGGTGGAAAGGCAGGTGGGCGGGGGGGTAGGGGGTGACTGGGAGACGGGCACTGAGGGGAGCACTTGATGGGATGAGCACTGGGTGTTATGCTGACATAATTGAACACCAATGACAAATTGACAAATTGAACACCAATAAAAAAAAAAGTATTAAGTCGGTCAGTCATCTTGGTGGAAGCAGTCTACCTAGAACTCAGCTACTTTTCTTCCTTGTCAACCTGACATGGAGGTGTCCAGCATCTGTACAGGATCAGATAGCAGGTGGAGCCTCCTTTAGCTGTGTGGTGTGTACCCAAGGCTCAATACCTTTTAGTTTTGCAG